TACTAATACACATTTCTATTTAATATACTTTTCATATTTCAGCTCATTTATAATATATATATTAGATCTAGTATATTGACAAAATTATTAAACAGTAAAGATTAAATTTATTTAATAAAATAAATATTAAATGCATGTTTATTTTTAATTTTAGTTTTTTTACATAATTTACATATATTTGATAAAAATTTTGTGTTATTTTTCCCATTCATTATTTCAGAAAATAATATTCCTTTTTTAGTTATTTAAATATTAATTGCTATTGCTACTGTCACTTACAAAAGATCTAACACTTGTGCTATCAAGTAATAATCAACTATTGCTTCAAATTTATCTAAAAAATAAATACTAATATGTGATGCTAAGCTTAATAATCCATAGCTAAAAAATAAAACTAATGATACTAAGTAAAAATCTATTAATTTATGTCATTTTCTGAGAAAGAGTTATATATTTGGTCATTTTTTCTGACATTTAATCAAACGACAAAAAATTGCTTTGTCTATCATAATATCCAAATAAAAATAGTATTCTAATTCAATATTTTCTTTATATGCTTCAGCAATAGTTAAGGTTTTTTCATCTTAGTTAGTATTGATGTCTAGTTCTAAAATTATAAAATTAGGAAATAAATCATAATATTCATGATCTATTTTAAGTATAATACATTTAACAACTTCTACATCAAAATCAATCATATAAATTTATTCATTATTCATTTTCTTAAAATCTAATAATTACAAATAATCTGTTGAAATAATATCAAAGTTTTATTAATATTCTGATTCATTCCAAATAATGGAGTTTCAGCTGTTAATTCTATAGTTAGTTCAAAGTCTCTATTCAATTGATAATTAGGCTTGAAAAGCCATTTTTAAAGTTGTATGAGATTGCCATAGGTAATATCATAAATTTTTCCTTGAAATCTATATTATCTATCATCTCTAAACTCTATATATTATTATTTTTAATTAGATGTTTTGTTGGACTTGAATTTTTTATTTGGACTTTTGCAAGTTTTTTTTCATGCTGATCTGATGAAATGTTATATGATAAGCTGTTAATATTTATCAAAAAGAATCTAGTAATTGCGGTATATAGCTGAGACTTGAGATAGCCAAACCTTCAGATAAGAAAAAGCTAAATATAATAGTATTGATATAATAAATGTACAACTTTTATTATTTGTTCAAAATTTGTATTTTTTGGTGATTTTTTATATTTCTTCGCTGTTGGTTACAAACTACTATTTTTTTGATACTGTTTGTTAACAATTCCAAAAAAGAATTTATTTAAAATGTAGAAAAGAAATCTCAATTTGTTTGAATCAAAATTCATTTCTATTTCCTTTTTTTAGAAGTTTTCATAAAAAGAACTTTTATTATGAACAAATTAAGAAGTTCATTAAAAGATATTTTTCTTAATTAGTTGATATATTGGTGATTAGAATAGAAGTATTAAATTTCTAGTTAAAGGGTAATATAAAGAAAGAAGAGCTCTAAAAATTCTTTTAGTATATATTTTTAGTTTCATCATCATTTGTTTAATTTGTTTATACAATATCAATTAGCTAATTATCTAAATATTCAAGTCTTTTTGTCATATTATTATCATGTAATTTTTTGATAATACATGTTACTGCACTTTTTCCTCTACCAGAATGATGATAAATATGATCATCCAAATTATCATAATATGAGTAACAAACACATAGAGGTGTCTTAATATCATCAAAGCCTACTTATATAAAGGTAGATATGATCGTAATGCCTTATATATATATTGATCAATGTATATTATTTAAATATTTTGATTATTTAAATGACAAGAATACAATGTATATTTCATATTCTGAGAGAAAAAAGTAACATACTTATTATATAAAATGCATCTATGCTATTGATAACTCTGTTTTTAAAAGTTTTTAGTTACTTATTTTGTGATTTATGCAAATATTTGTTATTAAATTGGAAATATGAATTGCAAATTTCTAATTTTGATAAATAACTAACTGATTTAACCAGTTCTCTATCAATTTGTCAGTTTCCAAATAGATTAGATTAATTGTCTCAATTTTTCTAACTCTTTACATCTCTGAATCTTACCTTTAACAAAGTCAATAACTGTATATAATGTAAATTTAACTGTTTTAAATAATTTATATTTTCATCTCATTCAATTTTCTCATGATTATTTTCTTATAAGTTTTTAGGATTTGCAGTATCATTTCTAGAGTATATAGTATTATTTTGAAAGTTTTCAAAATTTGTTGTATTATAATCAGTATTATTATCAAGTAAATTAAATAATTCTTCTATTGAAAAAATTTCATATTCAGAATTATCTTATTCAAAAAACTCATTATTATTACTTGTCTTATTATTATATTCTTCTAAAAAGTCTTTAGGAAACAAAGAAAATGATAAGAATAAAGAAATATTGTATATTTGTTTAGATATTTTTGCTAAAAGTTAGATAAATTAAACCCTGAGATACAAGTTACTAACTGTTTTTCTTATCCAAATGAAGTCAAAAATGTTTTTTTACTATTTCTTAGCTTAATGCTATATTTTATGGTGAAACAATATTTTTGTGTATTAGTATATATAACAAGTTTAGCAATTTTTTGTTTGTTTACCATTGCTTCTAATAAAAATTCTTCAATAATTAGCTAATCTTAATAAAAATTTAATGCATTAAATATTTAAAATAAAATGAATATATATGTAAAATTTCAGCATATATAGTCAATATCAAAATTATGTAGACAATTTTTTTTTACCAAAATTGAGCAGATCATTATATGATCACGAGATATAAATATTATGATTTTTTATTTATTTATATGATAAATATGAACATAAAATTTTTTAGCTATTTCATTTTTAGTTAAAACTTTATGAAATTATGAAGGCACATCATCCCAAAAATCTGTAGTGCTATTATTTATAGTAAAAAATGTGGACAATCAGGTTATATTATTGCTAAAAATTTGGATGTAATAAAATAACTATTTATAATACACTTAAATGCCTTTGTTAAACTGGTTCTTCTATATCAAAAAAATAAACTGGCTACTAATTATTCCTTAATACACTATCTTAACAAGAGCTTAAAGTTTTTATTCAAGAAAATGGTAAAAATTGTTGGCTTTATACAAAAAAACTTTTAACTGTTTAGATATCTCATTTAAAAAAACCATTTCTATATTTACTATACATTGTACTCTTAAAAAAAGTTAGACTTAATGCTTGTATTTCTTGTCACTAATCTGCAATAACAGAATTATATTGTCAAATTCGTCTTAAATATGCTTGTATATATAAAAAATAGATAACAAAACAATGGAGAAAAGTGTTTTTTTACTTTTACACAATTTCAATAAGAACATCAAAGAAAATTATGGCATGAATCAGGAGAAAAATTAAATCCTAATTGCATATCAGTTACTGTAAAATATAGTCTAAGCAAAATATTTTAGAGATGATTTTCTTAAAATAGATTTGAATCAATTATTCCTTTAAATATTTCAGTTATTGGTAAAATACATAATAAAACTATTCAAAAATATGTTATTTCTACTTTACAGAAGTATTTTCCTTATAGTAATAGAATTTTTTAAGAAGGTAATACTACATCATATTATTCAAAAGTTGCTGCAACTGCTTGTAAAAGTGCTAAAATTGTGATACTTTCTTGGCCTATCTAAAGTTTGGACTTAAACCCAATCAAAAATCTTTGAACAAAAATAAAAATAATAGTTTAATGTCATACTCCTTTACTATCTATATCTGAGTTTGTAAAATATATTAAAAAATGCTTAGAAAAATTTTTCTCTGAAATATTACAAAAAATTAATTGATAGTATGCCACAGAGGATCAATGCAGTTATTGTCACAAATAAAAATAGAATTAAATATTAGTATCATATAGTGATACCTAACTAAACTCTTTTTGAAAAATTGTAATTTCGTCAAAAATTTCGTCTCTTTAATATTTTTATATGAATAAATATATTTTTTAATGTATTTTAATTCAAGGAATTTAGATCAAGTTAAATATAATTTCGGCAATTAAGTAAAATAATTTCGTCATTAATAAAAAACTAGTTTCGTCATTTCAGTTTCATCAATTTCGTCATATTAAGAAAGGTAATTTCGTCAGATATCACTAGTATCATATTTTTTTTTATAAAAATCAATAAATAAAAATAAAATAAATAAAATTTACCTTTTGTTTTGTTTTTACTTTATTTATATAAATTTTTTGATTTAAAAAGTGTTTGCATAATTTTGGTCATTGATTGTATTATTATATAAAATAGTTTTATTTGACTTTAAGATGATTTTATAAAAAGTGATCTATATTGATATTGATCTACTAATTAAAACCCTAATGATCACTGGTTGATTTTATTTGATTTAAATCAATTTGAAATAGTACTTGAAAATTTTATGAAAAATCAATTATATTTTATATAATAACTAAAAAATATAATCCGTTTAAAAAATTATATTCAATTTAATAATAAAACTTTTGATCCAATCCGAATTGATCACCTCATTGATAATTAGGAAATGATCGACATATAATTGACTAATCATACAAATGTCTGCCATGCTGATAACCTCTAGATAACCTCTAGATAACCTCTAAAAATTTAACCAAAGTTCACTTAATACAGGCAAAAATCTCATTTTTTGTTGGTTAATAACAAAGTTCTATATATTTAATAATATTTTTTATTAAATAATTATATATATATATATTATTAAAGAATTGATTTTAATAAATATTAGAATTAACTTTTCTTTTGTTATTTTAAATAATATAGAAACTTTGCTATAAAAAAAGAGAGAATAAAAATCAAAATATATTTTATAAATTAAGATTTTATATTCAGATTGTAATATTATTATAGAAAAAAAATTTTTTCTTTCTTTTTATTAATAATAATGATTATAATAACACTAGATTTTCAAGTCACATACTAATTAATTATGCTTCATTACGTAGGAGGTTTGCCAATTAAAACCAGATTACATAGTGCTTATCGTTTTAGTAAGCAAATTGATTATAAAGGCACTTCCGAAGTCGAAACATATATATGGTGTTCAAAAGGCAATAATATATACCCGCGTATTAATAATCATTACATAACTTTTTTTAAAAAAATAAATAAATAAAAAAGAATATATATTATAGATGATTTCTTTGTATAGAAAAATTTTTATTAACCATGATAATTATTGACAAGGATATCCTTAAAGCAAATATCACACTTCCACCAGAGAGCGAATATGTTTGGTATCTTGGTAAGTATAGCTTTACATAACTAACTAAAAAAATCATCATGTGAATCAACTTTTTTTAATAATTAATATTTTAGGGTATGGAAGCAACATGAGCAAAAAAACTCTTGAAAGAATGCGCAAGGTAAAACCGCGTAAATCCATTGCGTGCACAGTTCCAAATTATTTTCTTTCGTTTGATATATATGGTCAACCATATTTCGAACCAGCTTTTGCATCAATTTATCCGCATCCATTACATTCTCATTCTAAATCAAGTATAACATATGAATATGCCAAAGATATTCACAATCATTGTTGTCCTGGTTTACCGTTTAAATTCAATCCTGAGGCTCCCGAAAAATCTTTACCTCCTATTTTAAATGGTATATTATATCTAATAAGTAAACAGGAATATCAACATATTCTGAATACTGAAGGTGGTTGGGGTTATGGTGACTTAGGACATGGTTATAAAGCTATCGATGTTGAATGTATTACTTATGATAATCAAAAACTGATCGCAAAAACGTTAAGTTCTCAATCTGCATCTGTTGAAGCTGGTTGCCAACCAAGTTTAAGATATTTGAATCTTCTTCGTGTTGGCGCAAAAGAACACAACCTTTCACCAGATTATCAAGATTATCTTAATTCTTTAAAACATTTTGAAATATCAACTACTTCAAAGAAAATTGCTCGTATTTTATACTTTACTTTTTCAATACCTTCAATATTTTTCTTTATTCTTTTCGCTAGTATTTCATTAAAATTTGGTAAAAGATTACCAAAATCTATTGCTAAAGCAATGATTTTTGTTATAAATATTTCTAGAGCAAATTATAATAATTTCTTTAAACCTTTATTTGGTAGTGGTACTAATAATGATTAATCAATTTAAATACATAAAATATAATATTGATCCAACTATTGCGAGATTTAAACTAATAAAGAACATATGGATGGGATCTTTGCCAGAAAAATAAAAAATGAGTTAATGCTAAATTTTAACATATTTCGGCCTGGAAATCTATAAAAGTAAAATTGATTTTTCTTGGCAGTTCCCATTCTTTTCTAATTTTGGAATTCAACAAAAATTGTAATGCATATTTGGCAGGATCACGAGGTTTTATTTATTGTTACACGATCACATCACATAAACATCAATAAAACAAGTTTAAACAATGACCTATAATTCGCAAAACAAATTCTCCTTATTCTTTTTTTCTTTCTTCTTTAATTCAATTTTTTAAAAAAAAAAAAATTTCAAGATGGTTCCTCTGCCAGAATTATGCCTTATCAATATATTCGAATATTTTAAAGAAGATTGTAATACTTTATACTCCTGCGCGTTAGTAAATCGAGATTGGTGTTCGATTGCAATTCCTCTTTTGTGGAGAAATCCTTTGGAAGTTTGTCATAAACTTGATCAACGAAAGCGTATGATGTCATTAGTTTATACCTATATGACGTGTCTTCCTGAAGCGACCCGTCAAAAAATTGGAATGCATGTGATGCTACAAAAACCCCCATTATTTGATTATACGAGATTTATACGACATTTGATCCCTAGACTTTTACATTATGGAATAGAAGAGATCGTATTATTTTGTCAAGAATATGGAATTTTCAATTTCACTATGATAAGACAAATTTATGAAGCATTATGTTCACATATTTTGAGACAAGCAAACGTGATTGAAACCGTTAACCTTTTGGAAAGTGGAGAGTTGAATATTTTCGAATTACCTGGAGCAACAAAACGTTTATCTGGAGTTAAAACACTTATCTGTGATGGAGATTTCCGAAAAACTTATATTGCTTCAAATGCTTGTCAAGATCTCGTGCGTTTAGAGGTACGACCTGAAGAAGATATAAATGTAGGAGAGGAATGGATTATTATCTTGCCAGAAAAAAACATGATGACTATTGCGAATTTAATTAAATATCAAAAGCAATTATCAGAGATCGCTCTTTATCAGATCGATCAAACTGGATTTAACGTGTGTTGGAAATATCTTGCGTTTAGTCATGTGAACTATTTGCAATGCATTGAATTATATAAAGTCACCTTTGATGCAGGATTTGGATTCATTCAACAAATTGCTTTATTTCCAAATTTACAAATTTTAAGGATGGAAGAATGTACCGGTGATGGATCATGGACTTACATCGAGCCGATTGCATTTCGAAAATTAAAAGATTTGATTCTTCATGGATGTTATTTTAATTTACAACCTTTCGAAAAACTCTTTATTCATGCAAAGAGTTCTTTACGTAATATACAATTTACAAATCCTTATTCTACGGAATTAATTCAAAAAGTTATTGATTGGAGTAAACTATATGTTACAAATATCACAACGATTATTTTATCAATCGAAGAACAACATCTTGAAAGTATTATTGTGCTTCTCAAGAATTGTAATAATCTTGAATATTTCCACATTTATGATATGGAAATTCAATGGGCAGTTGCATCACTTAAACCTATGAAATTATTGAACCCTTTACATATGACACCCCTTGCTACCATTGATGTCGATTATGAATTGGTTGAACTTGGACAAATTTTGCCAAAAACTTTAAGAGTTTTCAAAGTGGGAATGGATTGGTCTTTTTCAATTGAATCTCTTGAATCCTTTTTAATGAATCTGAAAGCAGCTCCTAAAATAAATATTTTGGAATTTAGTCACGGATATTGGTTTAATGATGATTATCACGATTTAATTGCTACTTATTGTCCAAATTTGTGCAATAGTTTATAAGAGACTTTAAAAGAAATTTTAATCTTTTTGTAAGACATTATCTCTGGGTGCATTAAAATATAGCTTCTTTTGTTAATTGAAATAATAAAAATAATAATGTAAATATTAGCTGTATCGGTTTTTTTCTAACCCATAATTATATAATATGAAATTGACCTTAGATTACACACATTACTATATAAGGCATTAATATTATTCTTAGTATTAGGACTAAGTTTTTAAAACTAAAATGACGTAATATCTGTGACTCTCTTAGTCTGAGCTTTTATCAGTCATTTTAGCCAGAATAACGTGAATGTATCAAAATTTGATTATAATTTATTTTCAGCCGAGCCGCTTGTTTTTAGAGCCGACTTAAGTCATCGATTCCAGAAAAAAAAATTTGAAAAGAATTCAACCATCGTAATACATTTTGACCCTCGTAATCATTTCGTATTTAGGTTTGAAATTTTTTTTGACCGTTTCGTTTCGACCCTCATACACATTTAATAATTTTAAGCTTGGTGTAACGATAGGATCGGCTTTAAAATTAATTTCCACACTTTTCATCCAGAAGAATGGGTTAAATTATTTAGTCAACTAAGGCAAATGACCAAAAATCAAGAAATTTTAAACTTTCAATAAATTCTAGTATATATTCCAGTATAAATAAATATTCACAAGATAAGATAGGTACTATTGAAGAGTTGATTTAAGCGTTAAAAGAAAATTCATTGTTTACAACTTTTAAAAATAGTGCTAAAAGTAGATTACAGCATATGAAATATGTTCCGGAAAAAGATGGTGGTGATAACGTTAAGTTTATAAACGAATTCCTTTCATTTTGATATGATGCTGAAATAATTTGTGAAGTTAGTGAAGTTAAGAAATATTTGCATCAAACTCTAATAATAATAAATATTCAGGATGAATTTGATGACAAGATGGAAAATGTTAAGAAATTATTATTCTTGAACAAAATCCAATGATAAAATAAGGATCTTGTGTCGCTTTAAGACATGTTGCTACGGGAAAATATTTAACTAGTATCGATAAAAATTATGAAAATAATAATTATAACTATAGTATAGTAAGTAAATTTAGAAATTAGACTTGAATTCTATTATTTATTAGATTAAAGCTTCATAATATTTATTAAGGTATTTGCAGGTAAACGTCCAATTCTTTATGGATTCTTGAATATGAAAATTCGGATTATAATGGTAATAAAATAAATTACCAAGACTCTATGTAGTAGAAAACAAATAGAAGACTTGATTACAATAGCGGAAATAAAAGATGTGGTAAATATATTTAATTAAATAGGGATTGTATATTATAATAATAAACTAACTAGTGATTTTAAAAATTACAGTGACTAGCGCTTCAAGTGTTGTTGGCATTTTCGAAATGTCAAGTCTAAAGAAAAAGGATTATTTGTTCAATCGCAAGATATAACGATCATGTACGTGTCATGAAGTCACATTTAAAGTTGATAATTCATCATAAAGAAAGAATCGGAGGAAACGGTGAGGTAAATTATAAAAGAATTATATATGTCAAAGGTAATTGAAAATTTTTCTCTCATATTATGGTGTATTGAGATTCAATTTCGGGGATTTTTTTTTTTTTTTTTAAAAAAAAGATGTTTCTATTATCTCTTAAAGCATCAGCTTCATAAACGGAATGAATTATTTTTGTTTGGTGTCCAAATTTACACTTAAAAATGAGAAAATTTTTAATATGAACAATTAATACTTGATTACGTTTTTACGTCATGAATAAATCCGATACATATATATGTAATCAGCTTTTACAATTTTCACTTTTTCTTAATGGAACCACCAAAATACGACGGAACAATCCATCAAGAAGAATGGGTTAAACAAATTCGATTGTTTTGTCAACTAAGACAAATAACGACAGAACAAGAAATTTTAAAAATATGTAAACTTTCAATAGATTCCAATATAAACTTTTCACATGAAAATATAAAGATCGCTGAAGAATTTAGTTGAAGCCTTAAGAAAAGATAAATTTTTTACGATATATAAAAATGACGTTAAGAGAAAGTTGTCTTCCATGAGATATATTTTGGAAAAAGATGGTGGTTGTCATATTAAATTTATGAAAGAATTTCTTTCACTTTGTTACAATGCGGAAATAATTAATGAAATTAACAAAGTTAAAAAATATTTGAATCAAAGTTTAAAAAATAATCAGTCGTTACAAGATGAATTTGTTGATAAGATGGAAAATACTAAATCTATGGATGAATTGGTGAACAAATTTGAAGAAATTATTTTAGAACAAAATTCAATAATAAGATATGATCTTGTGTCGCTTTAAGACATGTTGCTATCGATAAAATTATGAAAATAATAATTATAACTATAGTATAGTAAGTAAATTTACTTGGAATTCTATTTTTTATTAATATTAATGCTTCATAATATTTATTAAGGTATTTGCAAGTAAAACATTACTGGCGCCCGATACTTTATGGATTATTGGATATGAAAGTTCAGAATATGGTAATATAATAAATTACCGAGACTCTCTTATTCTTCTGTTACATATAAAAGACTTGATTATGAAATAAAAAGTAATAGATGTGATAATTATATTTAATGAAATAGTGATTATATATTAAAATTAACTAACTAGTGATTTTAAAAATTAAGTGACTAGTGATTTATGTTATAATTGGAAGTTTCGAAATGCAAAGTCTAAAGAAAAAGGATCATTTGTTAAATCGCAAGATATAATTAATATTCACTTGGATTTTGACGATAAAGTTGTACGTAGTCATGAAATCACATTTAAAGTTGGTAATGAAGCTTTACTAAAAGTGATTTATCATAATGAGGAACAATGAGGTAAGTTAATTAAATTATGAAATAATGAAACCTTTTTCCCATTGTAATGGTGTATTGAATTCTTAGATCAAATTAATACTTACAAAAAAAAATTTCATTTCATGAAAAGACGTTTACATAACAGGTCCATTTCAAATCAAATAAGTGAATAATATATCTCAATTTTCACTTAATTTATTAAATAAATTTTTAAATATCCTTTTACCGGCATATAAATTTTGTAAACTTATTCTTTCGTTATTTAGATGAGCTTGATCCGTAGATTGTCCTATTGGTAAATGGATTGCTTTGGCATTAAACATTTTTCCTAAACACCTAACAGCCGGTATAGAACCACCTTCTCTTATATATAATGGTTTGATTCCATATTCCTATTTAAAAATTATTTGATTAATGATACGAAATAAAAATAAAATTATCTTGGGGAAAAAAAAAATTTTTTTACTTGTTCTATTGCTTGTTCCGCAGCTTTGAAATATTGATTTTCGGGATCTCCTAACCACCAATCTGCCAAATTATTAATGGAGACCTACAAAATATCTTATTATTACAATTTTTTCCCCTTAAATCAAAATCAAAATGAAGAAAAAAGTCGAAACTTACACTAATTTTATTTTCGGTTTTTAATTCATCAAAAACTTTTTTAATAAAATCTTCAAAACTTTTCACAATTTCATTAATATCTTGATCAGGTACAATACGCATACTAACATTAGCCTTGGCTTTACATGGTATCACTGTAACATTATCTGGTCCACTAACATCAATCTTATGTATTGTAAATGATGGATACCTCCATTTTGACATTAATGATTCTTTTGTTTCGCCCGGTTTTGAACTACAATTCCTCTCTTCACTAGCATTATTTAATTTAGATCTATTAAAAACAAACATAACTTAAAAAATATCTCTTAAAAAAAGGAGTCTTTATAATAAATTTAAAAAGGCACTTGAAAAATTACCTAGATTTTGATTTCAAAATATATTCATATAATCGCTCTTCATATGGCGTAACAGGCCTCACATTATCATAAAATCCTAAATCAAACATTTATTAAACACATGTTTAGCTTTACCGACGAATTTTTACAAGTTTAATTTAATCTACCTGGAATCAAGATACGATTATCGTCTGACATAAGTTTTGCAAGTATCCGAATCATATCATTTAAAGGTTCTGATACTGCTCCTCCTTGCATACCAGAATGCAAATCCGTATTTTCGCTAAAAATCTATTTAAGAAAATAATTGGAATTTATTTTTTATTTTGCATGGTAGAGATAAATTTAAATTCTTATCAGAAGCTTACTTCAACAGTAGCACCTATTACTCCTCGAAGTCCATAAGTTAGACATGGCGTCTCATCATCTAACCAATAAGAATTACTATATAATGTATAAGATCGAAATTATTATATAGAAATTTTTATGCCCATCAAAATGGAAAAATAACATCATTATACCTTAATAGAATAACGTCTGCTTCGCCAATCAAATGCTATATAGACATTTTTTTTTTAAAAAAAAAAGGTTAATTAAAATAATACCTCGGTAAGTAATAAACACACAAGGTTTTTATTTACCTTGGACTTTTCCACAACATCATGGAATCCGATACTACCATTTTCTTCTTCACCTTCAATTAAAAATGATACATTTGCTCTAAGTTTTTTCTCTTGCTGTAACTCACTCACGGCAAATATAGATGCAAGCATAGGTCCCTTATTATCGGTAGTACCTAAATAATAAACATAATTATATTTAAAATGTATAATCTTTTAATTAATAAGTGAACTATCGTCTTTTACCTCTGCCATAAAGATATCCATCCTTGCCTATATGAAATAATAATAATAATACTATTATTATTATTATTATAAATGATATTTTTTTTCTGTAAAGATGATTTAACCAGTTACCAATCATTTCGAAGGGATTTGTAAGCCATTTGGTTTCATCCGCATCAATAACATCATAATGCCCATAAACTAGTACATTTAACCGTTTTTGTTGTTGTTCATCATTAATTCCATTAAATTTACCAAGAACCAATGGATTTTGACCTGTTGCTACTGGTATCTATAAAAAAAAAAGAGGTATTGATATATTTTATCTTTTGAATTATCCAAAATTTAATGATCATAGCTTACCAGTGATGAAAAGGCTCCTAATTGCTCAAATATACTCTTTAAAAATTTAGCACCTCTAAGACATTCTTCTAAATACTTTGGTTTCCCGCTAACCGTTTTCAACGAGATCCATTTAGATAGAGCATATCTCATAACATCTGCATGATATATATTAAATTTATTAAAAAAATGTCTGATTATTTGACATTTTAATTTTTAAATCCTACCTGTAGTTTCCGAAACAGCCGTTTCTAGCAAATAAGTGTTCGTTGTTTCCATATCCCAAAACTTTTTTTATAATTAAAGACAATTTCATTAATATTAATAATAAATAACCCTAATTAAATAATAAATAATATAAAACATACTTTGATTAACTGGTCATTAGCACTAATCAACCATGATCTATTTATACCTAATTTATGGTTAGGTGGAGATACAGTTAATGATAAAACAATTCCAGTATGATCCTTATAAGTATTTGATATCTCAAATGTTTTACTCCATCTCTAAATATATATTCGAATATCTTAGATAACAACAATTTATTGCATTATTTTTATTTAAGCAACACGATATTCCCTTACCTTGATAATTCCATCGGCTGATCCAGAAAATAAACTGTTATCTCCTATAGTCAAAGCTAATATATCATCCTAACGTTAAACGATAGAAATCAATAACAATTCCTTTAAAGAAATTATCAAATAATCTGTACATTTAAACTTACATCATGAGCCATAAGTGACCTAATATGCTATTAAGTATATATAATATTAAACTTTTGCAAAAAAAAAAAAACACAATCAAATAAATACTTTATCAACTTACTTGATAAGTTTCCAAATCATAAATCTTTTATTAAAAAGAAAAACACGTTTATTTTTTTTTTCATTATGAATTATTTTCATACCATTAATAAAATCATTCAAGCAATAACAACACAAACTTTAATATCGCCGCCTTGTGCACCACAAAATAATAATTCATCATGCATGGCAAAGGTTAAAATGCCAGCATCTGTACCTTTGAGTACTCTTAAAAGTTCCATAGATCCCTTTGTGATTGACCACACCTACAAATTAATATAAAAGATTTTAATGAAAGAAATAATATAATATAAATGAATGTATTTAATTTACCTTAACATCTCCATCTCCCGATCCTAAATTTTTTTTTTTAAAAAATAATATTCAATTAATTATACTTTTTTTTTTTAAAAAAAATTATTATTACGATCAACACCGATGTCATTATAAATCAAGTCAAATAAATCTAAGTAATTTTATATTGTAAATTAAAAGGGTTAGTGGGGTTGGGTCTAGGTTGTGCTTGGACAGGTCGGGTTCGGTTTAGTTAAGGTTAGGGTTAGTTAGGTAGTTAGGTAGTTAGTTTAGGTTTGAGTTATAAGGTTAGGGTTAGGGTTTTACGTAGGTCAAGTTTACATAGTGAAGGGTTTGAGGCTGACAACCTTTCTTTTCTTTTTAATAATGTCGGGAGTATATTAATTATAGCAACATATGACACCGATGAAGATCGCCTGATAGTTGATAGCAAAGTCCTTTTATACAAGTCTTACAAATTGATTACATACCACTTATAAGGATTCTTCCATCTTTATTCATTCCCAATATTAAAGCATACACATATCCGTTATGACTATTCATATAAACCATACAATCATCAACTTCGAACCTTTGAATATTTTCTTGTGACGCGGAAATCTTTGCATCGATTTCCTTTTCTTCGATTGGCGTAACTACTCCGCATGATTTCGATGAAATAGCATCAAAAAATTTAGAATAATTGCATGAACGTGAGGGGTAAACTGTTCGATAATTTTCTTTTGTTGATAAATCGAAACGCTGAAAGTGATATATAAGTTCGATTTTTTTATCAGTTACGGAAAGTAGTAATTGGAAGGGTAAGGATAAAAATGACTTACCAGTATACTAGTGTTTTGACAACCGATATATATTGTATCTAATTCGTCAGAATAAACCACCGAAAATAGATCACCAACATCGCAACACGGTTGAATAACGTAAAGAGCATCTAATGTATCAACTCTCCATACCTATACGAGATAAATGAAAATGTAGACGGACAAAGACAAATATAAAAAATTTGATTATATATCAAAGATCACATACCCGAACCGTGCTATCACCTTTATAAATAATAAATTAAAAAAGGTTGAAATCAAATCCGATTCAAATAAAAATCTTTCAATTATAATTTACTTACCAGATGAGCTAAATAACATAGTTTGATCCGCTGAGAGAGTTAAACATAAGACACCACCCACGTGTCCCTTTAAAACAGCTTTCGGTTGAAACGTAACCAAATCCCATACCTAAAATAATTATAAAATTTGATCAAGTTTCCAGCAACAATGACCGTATCTTCAATTTGACAGCTGTACAGCTTCAACAGAATACAATGCATTTACCTGAATAGAAGGTTCTTGAGAACCGCTAAAAAGATATTCATTAGAACATGCTAAGGAAAGTATCGAGTTTCCAAGCGTAATAGTGTGGCTTGGTTTATTAAGTAAAGTATCTTGCTTTTGTGTGAGACAGTTTAGACTTCCTATAAGAAAGTTCAAAAATAATTAATTTGAGCGAGTCTTGCAAAAACAAAAAAAGTTTAATTGACAATTAATGTTCTTACGAAGAGGTGTCGGACTAGCACTTTGTTGTATTATTTCAGGAAAGTGTTCCTTTCTTGACGGAATTTCGGAGTTGAATGTTTGTGATAAACTTTGATGCATATTAAAAGTTTGAAATTAAAAGTTTTAAAAGTTTGAAATTCGATTACGCCATTGATTATATATATTTCAAAAGATCTACAATCGTGATATTGAAAATCTGAATGGGGCATTTTTTCCGACATGGTTGTATGTGAATATCATGTGATTCAAATTAAGAAAATGGAGAAAATACAACTATGATTTTTCCAATTTGGTTATTATGTTCAATATATCGGAAATACTATAAAGAGAATCTTTTCAAAATGAGTAAAGTAAAATTATCTAATTACAACCTTGCCTGGATCAAAAAATTGCACTAGTTTTGTTTGATAATCGGTAAATTAAATTTCACATGAAAACCAGTATGTAAAATCCGATAATCTGTTAAATTAATAGAAAATCAGGGTTTTCCATCAACGCGATTCACTTTTTTTTTTGTTTTAATAATATATAAAGGTGATATAATGTACTGTATTTTATATATAATGCAAAATAACCTTATAATGAATGAAATGTAAAATGCGAATGAAATATACAAATATATGAAATTTATGCAGAAAAGAGAAAAAAAAAGAGCTAAATTAAATTATCCAATTAATAATTATTATAGAATAATCTTCGAATCGTTTTACCCTACTAAGGCGTTTCATTTTTATTATCGATTTGAATTTCGACAACACCATTAATATATTCTCTATTTTCATTATGAGATTCAACTCGAATAAATGTAGCCTGTCTCATTTCAGAATTATCACTATCGTTAATTAATTTTATTACTTTAACTCTTCTTGTTTGTTGTATTTTTGCACTTTTCTCTATTCGGATTTTCCATGAAATAAATGTTGATAAAACAAATGATAATGTATTTAACCAACAATATATTAATGATGCAATATAAGTATTACATGCTGTGAATGGTTCTTGTGGAATGATTATCTTTTCCGAAAAAAATGAGTGAATATTTGCACAATTTGAGAATTGGCCTTTAAAGACATCGTCAAGGTTTGCCATCGCTAATTTACAAAAAAAAAATGTTTAAAAGATTTGACATAAAAATTATATAAAAACAAATTACAATAAAATAATTATATGAAAGTTTTACCTGCCGAAAACCATAATGCCAAAAAAGATCTGTAATAACAAAAAAAAATTGTTGGATCCTATAATGAAATATTTAATAATCTAAAAAAAATAACAATAAAATGCATACATTTCAATCCAAAGGAAAGGGCCTTTTTGCGATTTCCAAATATATTGAAATCGTACTAGATATAAAGCTGAAAATAATAAAAAAAAAGAAATAAACGAGCCATTCAAAAATATAATTATATATATTTTATATTTAGATGTTTACCTAGACAGAAAATACTTAAACCGAAAACAAAATAAATATATTTCTTAGCATAGTCTCTTCCTCTAAATTTTACAAAGGAATGTGTTAATGCGTATAAAAATTACGATTTATAAAAAATAATCATAAACCATAATTACAGATTTAATCTTGGAAGATCTGCGCCATATTTTCTGTCATAATTCATGGTAGCACCAAGTTCAATCATTTCTAATAAAACGAAAAATAATAAAAAAGGTTCAACATAAGCATAATGAGAATAAATAAATAAAAATGAATAAATCATCATGAATCATACCCAGGATGAATACCAGAAACGAAAATAATAGTTGAATCCATTTCAAAGCTTGAAAGTAACCGGAATTATCCCGATATGTCATGACTTCAAGGTGACTGAAGATGAAATTTTAAGTCCAAGATAAACCTTTAAGTGTAGGAAAAAATTTGTTGAAAAAAACGTAGGGATCGTGAATTGCATGCAAAGTTGAAAACTTTATATGAAATACAACAAAAAAAAGTAATGAATGAATGAGAAAAAGGAATGTAAGAAAGGGGAGCAAGGGGAATATAAGGATTGAATATAGGAAAACAACAAAAAAAATAAAAATAGTATTTATATAAAAACATCATGATGCAACTTAATTTTTGCCCCTTAATTAATCACGGAGGAATTGGGTAAATTCTCCTTGATACGAATCAAAATGCACGTGGAGTTAATTGTTTTCCAAATATGTACTATTTCCGTTTTTTTTGGAAGCAATGGAATGACAAAAAAACTTCTTACAATGTCATACTTATAGGTATTACAAAATACTTCTTTGCACATATTCGGCAGAATGCTCGGCTATTTGATTTTAAATTGACCAATTGCTGCTCCACAAAATACACAATGTTGTATTATTAGGAAGAATGATATAAAAAAATCTCTATTTTTATAACTAAATCATCTGCCTATAGGTCGATTCTTCAATTCTATGAAGTTAACCAAAATTCATAAATTAAATTCGTTATCTGGTTTCTGCAGGTAATATTAAATTTTAAGCTTAAAAAAATCATTCTTCAATTTTCACGATTACTAGCACTAAAATTACTATCATCATTATACTGCCAAATATTTATTGTGAAATAGATTTTCCTTCTTTTTTTTATTGTGGTTGTAACCTTGTCGATACTTTCAATGTTTTTATTTTAGACTTTATACTGAAAAAATTTTTTTAATACCACTTCATGAAATAAATACATTGTAAGTTAATTATATTCGTAAATGATTAATGATTGAAAATATTTTGGAATTTGTCACGATGGCAAATAGAATTTGGCTGCACTCGGAAACTATTGAGAATTTCTCCTTAAAGTTTTACAGTTCAGCGCAAAATATCTCAAGTAATTTTAAATTCCAAGCAATATTATCCCTTAAATGGGTCATGATTTTCAATCAATTAATTCTACATAGAAAGAAACTTACAATTTTTTTTAAAGTTAAAATAGATTATTTTTAAATAAAATTCATTTTTAATAATTAAAATATTAAATAAATGTTTTAATTATAAATTTATATATTTCGTAAAGTTTTTTTAATAATATAAAAATAAAAATTTTGGCTTTTATAAAGAAAGTATTTTTAATAAAAAATTTGCAAAACTTTGATCTTAAATTTTTGCAAAATGTTACTAATTAATGTAATTTTTTTTTTGATTTTACTTAAAAAACATTATAAATTTTATTATAGAGCTATTATTAGTTTAATAATTAATTTTTAATATATTTAAAATTAACTTTAAAGTGTAAGTAAAATTTGAAAGGAAAATTATTGAAGGGATATTTAATCTTACTAAATTTTAGAATTTCATACTATATCCAATAATTAAACAATTTTGAATAATTAAATAATTAGATATAGTTTAATTATATAATTTTAAATATATTAATTTGTTAGGATAATTATAATTCAAAACATGTAAATTATGATAACTTACTAATCAATGATTATAGAAAAATAAAATATAACTATTGAAATTTCATAATAAATTTCATTAAATAATAATAAAATTTTATTTCTAAAATTTATTTTCTAGTATTTATAAATGATTAAATATTTCAAAATATTTCTAAAATATTATTTATTAAAACTATACTAGAAATATAAATTTATTTTTTATACAATTGGTTAATAAATTAAAGTTTATATTATTTGAATTGGAACTAATAAATACTTTTGAAAAACTTTATATTTTCAATTTAAATTATATTAGAATTTTATCTTAAAGGTTTTTATTTTATAGATTTCTATTGAAAATTAAAATAAAAAATATTGATCAAAAATTAAACTTTTGTATAATAAAAATCTAATTTTTTGATTCATTTAAAAAGGATCAATCTGCTATAATTTGCAATTTTAATATATTATAAAAATATTTTACCTTTAGCAAATTAATGTATTTATTAAAATTAGATTATATATAATTATTTAAACTATATTTTTTTTTAAATATTAATAAATAAAATAAATTTTAAGTAATATAATAATAGATAATAACTGAATGATTATACCTCATATTATCACAATTTGTGATTATTTTGCTAATTATTTTCTTATTTTATTATATATAAAAATGCTGTTAATAATATATTTAAAGTAAATTAACTCTATTTGAAAATTTTTACTGTTCACATATAATTCTTATTATTAGATATGTATTTGAATGTTGATTCTTTTTAATTAAGTATTAAATCTTTAGTATTTACAAACTTTATTTAATACTGATTTTTAAAGAGATGTTTATGTAAATATTTAATAAATAATAATACAATATTTACCAAATAATTATAATTTAAAAATATGTTTATTTACAAAATAAAAAAATAAGAAAAAATAAAGAAAGCACAAAAGAAAAGAAATGAAAATACTAAAACAAAAAGAAATATATAATAAGCCAGTTGCTTTTTAGACTCACTAAAATCTAACTTATCAAATCATACTTTTTATATAATCTAAAAACCACTTATTTATATAAAATAAATTATATAAAAAATAAAACTAATATATTATATATGTTTAATTTATCATATATAACTAACATATCTAATATTTCAACTATATCTAATTTATTAACTATATCTATTAAATTGATCATGTGAGGTCTTTGCAATAGAAAGGGAGGAAACTGCTGGGAAAAATTAATTTTACTTTTATATGCCAAATATGATTTTTAGGCTGAAATATATTTGAATTTAGTATTAACTCATTTTTGATTTTTCCAGTAGTTTCCCACCTTTCTATTGCAAAGGCCTCATATCAGAAATGTCAGACATATCAGATTTATTAATTATTTGCATCATATATATTATATTATATTTATTTATTTACATTACATAATAATATATGGGTTGTGATCTAAGAAAATCAAGTTTTAAGAATTTTTTATCAAAATTAAGATTTTAATTGCATTTTATTTTTTATTATATTTAAACTAAAATGTAATAAGATATTAATTTTAATCAAAAATTTTTTAGAACTTGATTTTTTTAGATCATAATCTATATACTAAAATTTTGCAAAAAGTTTTAATTTAATATAAATAATAAAGTATCAATTTTTATTAAATTTAAATTATTAATAATATTAATAATTGATATTTACTAAAAGTAACATTTTACAATTAATAGCTTCAGCTGTAATAAATTTTTTAGATTTTTGAAATAAAATTTAGTTAGATATCATTAAAATTAACTAAAAAAAATAAAAAATAATCTGTATGTAAGATATATAATCTAAGATATATTGGCTATTATTGCTTTTTAGTTTAAAAGTGTAAGAAAAAAATAATTAAAAATAAAGGTATTATTAAAGATTTATTAATAAAATAATTAATTAACCTATAAATCTAATAAAAATTATCAAATAAGTAAAAAATATAATAGTGAGCATAAAGATGGAAACTGTAATTAATATGTTGCAACTTTTAATGTTGCAACTTACGTTGCAATTAGTTTTAACCTATATATGTTGCAACTAATTTTAGCTTATGTTGCAACATTTTGTAAATTTAAAATCAATTGCTATACCATTTTTAAGTGAGCAAATAATTATCAAGTTGAATTAAAACCTTACTAAAAGATTATATTAGCAAGGATTAAAATTAGTAGTTTTAGTAGATGCTAATTATAAAAATTACTATTTTTTAAAAAAAATATTATTAAATTTTAAAGTTTTGATTAATGCTTTTATTAAAAAATTTACCAAAAAAAAAATAATTATCTAAAAAAGTAAATAATACTAAACAATTTAATCTCTGAAAAGATTTTGAGATAACTAAATAACCAATTCAAATCAAATATTCTAAGTGTTAATAAAGGATTAAAAAAGAAAAATAACTTGTTTTTTGCAAATAGATCATTATTTTTTTAGATTATTTGTAATTTCAGTATATCAAACCTTTCTAATAAATATTGTTTAACATTTTATATTATCTAATTAAATTAAATATATTAAAAAAATATATATATAAATAAAAAATTATAATTAATAATTAAAACCAAAATTTTAAATTTATTTACTATTTTATTAAGGTTGCTGGATGAAATCAAGGGTTTAGACAGACGTCTAAATGGTAAAGGTAAAGCTTGGTTAAATTATATTAAAACCTTATTGCAAAATTCGGAAAAAGGTAAGATTATAAAAATGGCGAAATTAGAAGTTTAAACGTTTAGCCAAATCCAAAATGAGTTTAGACAAGCAACCTTAGTTATGATGTATATTAATAATTATTAACTGTAAATGAAAAGCAATACTTTTTTTTTACTCCATTGATCAATCAGTGTTTTTTGTAGATCTTTAATTTAATATTAAATAGGAATTTGGTTTGAGCTTTGCCACTTAACGTTACGTTAAAACCGTATCGGTATGAGATATTAATGGTTGGTTACTAATTTTTTTTTTTCGGAAAAGATTTTTCGATATAGAAGAACAATAGGAATACAAAACGCAAAAAGTAGAATATTAATGAAATGATTCGTGAAAAAATAAAATCCGATAATAGACGCGCTTCAAATTGCTGTAACAAATACTGTAATATCAATTTCTCACCAATCTATCAAAAATGTTATCGCGGAAAAATTCACAAAATTTTTGACGACGCGAAACTATATTTTTCATCGTAAATAGATTAGAGATAATAAATTAAACAAAGAAATGTTTTACAGAGGTATAAAGTGAAACACGAACGTTACTAGTTTAGGCTCATTATACCTTATTATAATTTCAATAAACAACTTAAATTAGAATTGATTGCCACAAATTACGGGTAATACTCATTCCGGTTTTGTTCTTTATAATTAGAAACAGGTAATTTTTTTTTAAAAATTATTCGTTGTCTAATTTCTCGAAAATAATGTATTTAATGAAATTGTTTTTTGATACATGCCTAATTAATCGTTTCCATTAAATTAAGGTATAATGAGGATAAAAAAGTCATTAAATGATGATAAAGCTCTTTGTCATAGAGCAAAATCTAAGCAGTCAGATTTTGGAAGATAAGAGAAACAGTTATATATATAAATTAAATATATTTAATTTAATAAAATAATACCAATTTATGATGATGTGATGCCGGGCGGGGAATTGCCGAACCCAAATCTATAAATAAATAAATTAAAAATTCACACCAAAAAATTATTTAAATAAGTTATTTTAAATTTTCATTTTTTAAAAAAATTTAAAAATTTTGCGACATCTTTTTGAAGTATAACCAAGTTAATGGATACATCATCATTAAGTAGACATGATTCAGAAAGTGAATCCAATAATGATAATAATGTAGACAGCGCGAATCCTAGTAACCCATTCGAATTTATCATAACTCCTTCTAACACGAATGAAACTATTCAAAGCGAGGTCAACACGAAGAAAACTTCGTTATCAAAACAAAACTCTCAAGTTAATATTTCCAATCCATTTGAAGAAATTTCAACGGAAACATCTCATGACCAAACGCTTCCCAATAACGATTCATCCATTATAGAAATTCTCACACCCGCAATTATAAGAACATCTCAGACAGATATTCCAACAAATCCATTTCATGCATTAATTAAACATAACAATAAAAATTCTTCTCTAGACCGAAAAGTGTGTGAAGATACGGATGAAATATCACCACCACCTTACCCTACAGATTCAAATACAATTCCATCACATTCAGGAGATCATACCACGATAACATTCGCTTCTCCACCAGATTATGCAGAAACACTAATCACCACACAGCCACAGCCTATGCCACAACCTTCAAATTATAGATCATTAAGCGATATATCGGCGAATGGATCACCCAATGATGAATCCACTCAATTAAAATATTGTAAGATATGTCAAGAATCAGAATCCTCATCTTCACAAGAAGAATCAGTAACTGATTGTTCATCATACCGTAAGGGCAAATTAATTTCGCCTTGTAAATGTAAAGGATCTCTTCAATATGTACATCTTGGTTGTTTAAATCAATGGCGCAACTCTAATGTACGTGAAGAAGCGTCATATAGATGTGAAGTATGTAAGTACGAATATAGCTTTTATAGAACACGTATAGCCAGAATAATTACGAGTTATTTTACGCTACATTTCCTTACTATAATTTTATTATTCGTCATAATTTATTTAGTTTCTTATATAGTAAAATTATTTGATGCTGATATCATACGTGAAGAACCACATGATCCACCGGAAGATAGATGGCAAGACACTCCATTTTTATATCTTCGTGTAATTCATTTTATAATTGGCATTTCAATAGTTTCATCTTGGGGATTATTATTTTTTATGTGTTTGGTTTGTTTTAATGGTCTTGTTCACACGAGACATACTTATTGTTATTGTGGTGGATGTAACGATTCTTTTGGTTGTTCAGGTGAAAGTTGTGGATCTGGATGCGATTGTGATAGTGCGGGTGGGGATTGTGGTATTTTTCTGGTTATAATAGCTGCAATTGTCTTAATAGTTATATTTATATTGGGTCTTTCTTGTGCTATAATTGCTGCTTATTTATTCGTACAAAAAATTACATCATTATATCTTGAAAAAATTCATGAACGTATAGTGGATGTTAATAAGGATTAAAAAAAAATAAAAAAAATCAAGACATGTATTAATAAAAAAAAAAAGTTATTAAATTTACAAATTTACCCAAAATTTTTGTTAAGGATAATTTTAATTAATATTGGATAAACCTTTCTTTTGATATTCTAATATTCTTATTTTGTTTGATATCTTTTTATTCTATACGATAGATTGTGAAAGAGACAATTCACCATGTGATTCTGACAAGCTTGTGCGACAATCAATTTTCGCGTCGCGTTTTGCTATACGCCATAGATTATAAAAACTCCTCTTCTTCCAACACTGCAATACACGATGAGTGAAATTATATTAACAAACTTTAAACTTTTTATTTAGTTCTTAGCTGTTTTCGCGTATTTTAACGAAGTAGATAGCACCTGTTGTACCTTTCCCAACTTTCTTATCAATCAATTTGCGAGAAGTTATCTTGGAAACGAGTGGACTCGATGGTATATGGTTCAAATTATATAAGAAAAAATTGCTAAGGAATAGGTAAAGCTTCGTTTGAAAAATAAGCGGACGAGAGGGCGCTTTTGTCTGTTATCCCACCCTTTGCGATTTGCCAACATTTATTGTATTGTTAAACACGACGTAGTTAATATTTTCTTCTTTATACCTTTATAGCAACATTCACATACGTATATGAAGTTAATTTTCGAAGATATCATATTGAGCGTAAAAAAAGCAAGAGTTGGTCCTTCTCAAACATTCTAATATCAATGGAAATTGACATTATCATTGAAATTTACTCATAATGTAAACGTACTGTGCAACGTAATTATGAAAAGACCAGTATCAATGTGTTAGATGAAGTACGAACGCATGGTGCCGAGAAATAATTTCGGATATGTCAGAAGCTCTTGGAATGAAACGTTCTCTAAACAATGAAGTAGCTGCGGAACCTTCAAAGGTGAATGATCATAGATATTTGAAATAATGATGGCAATGAAAGGTGAAATTACGAGTAAACAAAGAACTTACTGGCGTATTCTGTTAATCTTAAAATCAGGCATTCAATTTGCTAATGAACGAAAAATTAATGATTTGTGGTTGGTTGTGAAGAGGATAGGATGTGTTATATTTCTTGGAGAAGTTTGATCTTGAAGAAAATGTGAAGTCTTTGGGAGATTGTCTTGAAGAAAATCCGATTAATCAGTGAACGACCTCATTAATGTACAGAATTTCTTTTTCTTATACAAGAACGATATTTTACTACAGTCTTTATCTTTAATGTGTACGTATGGTTACTTTAAGAATGCATTCCTCAGAAAAAAATGATCTAAAAATTAAATTGCGGAGATTTGACGTCCAATTCGTACGAAAAATTAAAGGAGATTCTAGACATTAGTGGTCGCAATGCACCAAGATTAAATGGTAAAGGGCTCCTAAAAGCATTGGGCACCGAAATACTAGTTCAGGAAGACGGTGTCCTTAACACTCGAAAAATAGGATAGGTGATCTCAAAAAATTGGAACAATGTTCAAAGGTGATCCTCACAGAACGCGTGGAAAGGATTCTCAAAATTGATAATGGCCATACTGGAATTTACAAAGCGTTTAAAAAAAGGTCACAAAGCGTCTGGAGAACGGGATCAATTTTCACCAAAAACGATGACCATATGGGGCCTTTGCAATTGAAAGGGGGAAACTGCCGGGTAAAATCAATTTTACTTTTATATGTCAAATATGATTTTTAGGCTGAAATATATTCAAATTTAGCATTAACTCTTTCTGGCAGTTTCCCCCATATAGGTTGAGTAGCATCCAACGTCATTTCAAATTTTTTTATATGTAATAAAAATAATAATAATAAATTTCAATGATCGCATTATAGTTTTTTTTTTTTTTATAGCCGAAATGTGGTAGCGAATTCAGACTTTTACTAATAACCGTTCCACCGATTTCGAACATTCCCGAAAAAACCACATTTTTCGTAATTACTAATCCACTTGATGATCTAAACAGTTTTGTATCGATCATCACATTTAAAATCAAATATAAGGAAAAATAACTTTCAATAAACTCTCATTATAAAAAGTCATCAAAGCATTATCCTTTCCACCATCCACGGCATGAAAGGTTTAGAAGCCGACCATGTTTTTTTAATTTTTTGTGATAAAAAAATCTTGCCCAAAAAAGAGAAATTTGGGAACGAGTGGGAGAAAAAAAATTATTTTTCACGGCCATAACTCGTCCTCGATTTGGTTTATATATTACCACTAGTTCCTTGGCAGAGTGTTCGAAGTTCATTGAACCAAGTTAGATCAAACCCCACTTTTTTACAACCCTGGCTCATAATAAGGTCACCTACCAAAGTGCAAGTAAAATCCAAGAGACGTATGACGTCTCAGTTGAAACATTGCGACGATGGGCCAACTCCGGAAGAATTGCTATTGTCAGGACACCTGGTAGAAAACGATTCTACTCAATTTCAGACATTCAAGAAATCTTCGGAGACAACCAACAACAATCCGCGCAAAAGACAAAGATCTGCTACGCTAGAGTCAGTTCAGAACATCAACGAGACGACCTTGAACGACAAATCGAATATGAAATCTTTAGCGACATTAGTTCGGGGCTCAACTGGAAACACAGGGGTTTTGTTGCCCTTCTGGAACGAATACACGCGGGAGGAATCGAAGAAGTGGTGGTTACCCAAAAGGTTTGAGTTTAATTATTTATTTGCTTTGATTTATTGATTTTTTATTAGGAACGATTGTGCCGTTTCAGATTCGAGCTTGTGGAATGGATCTTTGAGAAGAATGAGACTCGGCTCGTGGTACTCGGTACAGATATCAGTGCCGAAAGTAGTGAAACCGGAGAACTTGCAGAAGACTTCACAGTATTTGTGGCATGATATAATGGATTACGTTCAGTCGCAAATCGCAGGAGGAGAAGAGATGTTACCCAAGAGTTCCAAGAATTCCAAGAAGAAAGTGAAGAAACTTCTAGCAGGCAAGGTGCAACGGATTCGCATTTATCTCAACCAGCAGGAGCGTCTGAAACTTAGAAGATGGATAGGAACAGCATGATAGACATACAATCGGTGTTTTATTGCGGTCAAAAAAGAAGGTATCAAATGAGAAAAGAAGGATCTACGCGCGTTGTGTCTTAATGCTAAAACTTCAATGATACCAAACTCAAATGGATCCTCGAAACTCCCTATGACATTCGCGATGAAGCAATAAATGATTTGCTCAAGGGACATTCTTCTAATTTTGCTGCTAAGCGTAAAAAATTCAAGATGAAATTCCGTTCAAAAAAGGATTCTCATCAGTCTATCACGGTATTATCAAAACATTAGGGTAAAACTCATGGTGAATATTCATTTCTTTCCAAAATCAAGTCATCAGAACCTCTTCCAAAAAAACTTGAATATGATAGCCGCCTTGCTATGAATCGACTTGGTGAATATTATCTATGTATACCCAGACCGCTTGAAATACAGATAGAGATGAGGCGGTTCATTAATTAACCGGTTTGAACTCAGTTAGGAACCTCGGTTCTTTTAGTTCCAGTTCCGATTTTCAGAACTTTCAGAAAACTGGTTCTAAACTGAGTTTCCATTTGACAAACCGGTTCCATTTTGATAAACTGGTTCCGATTATCTCAGAAAATTTTGTACTCCCATTATTAAATAAATAATCAGTCTGCGAATAAAAAAAGTTTTTTTTTCACTCGGAAATTTTTTTTCGAAATCATTAATAAACTATCAAAAATAAGATTTGACCTTTCACTAGTTTTCGTACTAGGGATACCTAGTGTTTTCTAATTAAAAAAAAACTTTTTTCATCATGGATAATACGATCGAACCCAATGATGATGACCTAGAAATGACTGACCTTGAAGACGAGTCTGTTAGTGAATCTTCTCGTAACTTTACCGTTGGAAAAAGTTTCGTGTAGAAGCATTTTGACAGAAATCCATCAAATACACCAGGATATAATGTTTGCAGGAAGTGCTCTACAAAATATAAAGCGTCAACAGGTGTTTCAACTTTACGAAAACATTTACAAAAATACAAGTTAAATGTACCTATAAAGAAGCAGGGAATCTTAGTTATCAAAAGAACAGATCCTTTTAACAAACAGGAACAAGAAGAACATGACAATTACCTTATTGAATGGCTGATTTGTGATCTTCAACCCTTTTCGGCTGTTGACAACTCTTATTTTAGGGCATTTCTTAATTATTTCTATCCACGATATGTTATTCTAGAACGACATCAGGCAAAAGTTATAGAATACTGTTAAATTAGTATAAATAGTATACTTTTTAGAAATCATTTTTTTTAGAATTAGGTGATAAATATGTATATTTTAAGCATGTATTGTTTTAATTTTATTTTTAATAAAGTTTAAATTTTTAAATTTTTAAATCAGATTTAATAGTTAATGCATTTATCAACAGACGATCTAAAATTACTAATGAGCTTCGGCAAATGATGGGATAGTGTTCATTGACGGCAGATATGTGGACTTCTACTATGAGTCAGGAGGCCTTTTTGGGTCTCACTATTCATTATGTAGATTCTGAGTGGCATTTTAGAAATTTCCTTCTTGACATCATTCCTTTTTCAATTAGCCATTCCGGAATGAACATCGCACAAGAAATAATGCATGTTCTGAATGAATTTAATATTTTGATAAAGTCATCGCGCTTACAACAGATAACGAATCCACGATGTTAGTTTGTGGAAAAAAAATTATGATGGCCCTTAATTCTGAGTTTTCCTCAATGACTTTCTCTCATTATCGTTATGCCGCGCATGTCTTGAACCTAGGTGTAAAACAAGGATTAGAATTAGTAGATAATTCAGTTCGTAAGGCACGTGAATTAATGATTAAAATTAAAATTTCAACTCGCCTTTGTGACGAGCTTCGCCTCTTATGTGATGTAAAGAAAATTAAATACCTTAAACCCCTTTTGGATGTGAAGACCCGTTGGAATTCAACATATTATATGTTGAAGCGTTTGGAGCAGCTCGAGCCGGCTTTATTTTTAATTTTAGCTAATCATCGATCTATTAATGATCTTTATCCTAACGATGAAGACTGGATCATTATTAAGGTAACTAATAAAAAAAATTTGGTTAATGTTATTATTTATTTGATTACTTGTTAATTATTTTAATAAATATAATAGGATACTCTTATACTTCTCAAACCTATAGAAAGAGCCACCAAATATCTTTCGGTATCATTCTATCCAACTATGAGCGATTTTCGATTTATTTTTGAAAGCATTCAAATGCACCTACAAAAATATATAGATAATGAAAATTTTACACAATGTGAAATAGCATCTTCTATATATCAAAAAATTAATGAATATTGGGACATTATGGACTGACCTTCAATTGCTTCTGTAGTTTTAGATCCTCAAACAAAACTTTCAATCTTTTCAGGTTTAAATTTAAATTTATCAATATTTTAGTTAACTATAAAATTTAACTAATTTTTTTTATTTTACGCGAATCATTAGAAAATGCTCAAATGCACATTCAGGCTATCTTTAAAATATATCAAGAACGCTCTCCTAATACATCATCATCATCATCCACATATCCATCAACATTCATTAATGCTTTTTGCCAATATTTTATACAACTTTGACGACAAGATGCAGATGAACTCCTTTCTCCATTATATTCTTCAGCAATAACGGAATTAGACCGTTACCTTGCATTACAAATTGATGAGAAAACTGATTCTCTTTTATGGTGGCAAGCACATGCTAAAGAATATCCAATCGTAAGTAATATGGCACAAGATTATCTTACGATTCAAGCTACTAGAGTTGCGTCAGAACAGGCATTTCAGTTGCAGGTAATACTATTAGTAAAACCAGGAATCGGTTGTTACCAGAAACGGCAAGAGCATGTTTATGTATGAAAAGTTGAATTACTAATAAGTTGGGAGAATAATAATATAAATTTTATCACTTGAATATTGATTATAATGGATTAAATTCTTATTA